GGCCGCATCCCGGAGCCTCCTCCCCGCCAAGCCCTCGCTGCTGCGGCTGCTTCCAGGGAGGATGGGTGCCGAGTTGTAACGCAGTTATATAGCACTTGATTATCAAGTTTCCAGCCACAGCTGCGTACGCCGGCGAAGAACGTAAAGAAGTATCAGAAGATAATGCGGCGTCGCTATTTATTACCCTATAATTAAAGTTCTGACAGTGTTTCTATTATAAAACCTTATTTGCGAGGGTTCATAACTCAAGAGGCAAAATTCTCCTTCAAGACGAAGCCTCGCTCACCAGGCTGAGTCATTTAAAAAGTATTTCAGTTAAATAAGGTTAGCCCATTAGAGGGTAAAATTCTCAAGGACTTCCATTAAGGTGCTCATTTATATCTGCAAATAAAAGAATTGCAAAGTCCCCCAAATCAAGGACGTACGAGAAGGAAAATATTTTTTGCAAAATCAAGGATTCATGGAAAGGTTTTAATATAATTCTAGGAAATTATTCCCATGAAAACAATTTGTTTGAAAGAAAATGCCCTCCGGTCCTTTCCACACAAACTAGTCTTGGGCTAGTACATGAGAACCAAACTTAAAAGTGACTACGAGCAGAAATGAGACCGACTAATTCATTTCAACTGTCCTTACTGGAATAAAACCCAAAGAGTAAACAGCTTGAACGGGGAAAGGTGAATTTAATTTTCAAGGCCCTTTAACTTTTAATAATCTGAGGAACAATATGGGAGGTACATTCTACCCTCCCAGTTATCCTGATATAAATTCATTCAAGATTTATATTGGTGTAATAGAGAAGCAGAATTCGCTCCGCGATTTCTAATGAACTGCTGGCTCGGTCTTTAAAAATGCAATTAGAAAAATCTAGCCTGCTAATTCAGAACAGCTTTGAGCTAAGTCAGAGGTCTCGACGCTGCACACACGGATGGAAGCCAGTCCGTACCACGGCTCCTCGCCGTGCCTGCAGCGCAACCGGCGCGGGGCTAGGAATGCTGGAAACGGTTTGCTACAAAATTCCCTAGTTATTTTAGGATTTTCTTTTCTATTATGCGGGAAAAGACGATTCTTATGTGGAATAAACCTGTGTTTCCTGTGATCTCAAATACTAAGACGAAAGGATTGTAGGATTAGGTGCCTGGCCTGTTACTGATGCAGGAGGCAAGGAGCTGTCTGGTCGGAGCGCTGCCTGCTGAGACTGGCAGGAGTCGGGAAAACCCATTCGGCTCCAACTCCGCGCCGAAACTCCTAGCAGTCGCTGCGCCGATGCAGGTGAAACATCAATAAATATGAAAGCAAGTCAAGGGCTCATTCGGTCGCTTTACTCGTTCTTACGAGTTCTTACGAGTAAAGACCGTCTTCTTCACCGCTTGCTCACGTGTGTAGGAACAACGGGACCGAGATCCCAATCTGTCTCTCTGACCTTTTGAAGAGAAGGCTTTAAACGAAGCAGCGCGGAGCGGCCGCCTCGTTTGATCTTCACAAACCGCCAGGCGAAACTCCTCAGGTTGCTTCAGTCTAGCGCGGGCTGCTGGGGCAAGCCCGCCTCGGGGGAAATATCGCCTCCGACTACCTGGAAGCCCCACCTCGCCCTTGACCGAGGACCTCGAAGAGGCGCCGGCGGCCACCGACACGAGGGAACCTGAAGGTCCTAGGAGATGCGCTAAGGCCACTTTCATCCTCGCTCCAGAGCAGCTGTGCTATCTTCGCTAAGAACGTCAAGAAGCAACAGAAGATAACGCAGCAGTGCTATTTATTACCCGGCAATTAAAGTTCTCGCAGCGTTTCTATTATAAAATGTTGTTTGCAAGGGTTCGTAACTCAGAGGGAAAATTTTCCATCGCGATGCAGCCTCGCTTACCACGCCGAGCTGGGTATGGTTAAAGCATCACTGGTCAATAACTAAACCACAGCAGAGCATCACCTCGCCAGGGAGCTGGGTGAGACCTCCTTCGGTCATGGGCCTGACCGCGTCCACTGAGGACAGCGGGAGCCTTCAGCTCGAAACCCCAGAGCTTCGGCGTATCGAGTCTGCTCACTGCAAGCCCCAGCGCAACGTTACAGCGGCTCCTCCTTCCCCTTCATAGGTCTGGAGAATGTGCAACTTGAAACTATTGGTTTCATGGTGAAACTTGAACCGATTCGCTTTAATTGTACCACGCCTCAGTTTCCCCATCAGTAAAGACAAAAAAAAATTTGCCCGTCAGTGCAAGGTGCGATAACATCAGGGGACATTTACGATACACTCCGATAAGAAGTGCAAGGTTGTCCTGTTACTTGGCTCTACCAAGGTGCTGCTGCGCCTATGCACGCTGTCGTGAGAAGACCGCTTCTACTCAACCACCTTAAACGCCTAGACCCAAGCTGGGCTTAGACGTGAGGAGGAACCAGCATACAAGACGGACGATTACTGCAAAATTACAACTCCGCAGCGCTAGGAAAATACCCGAACACTTACCGTTGGACCTCCCTTGGGTTTTTTGATTGCTTAATGGAGTAATTTGAAAGAGAGGTACCGCACGCTCTCGCGCGCTGAAGAAGGACAGCTCAGCATCTTGACGGCGTCAGGAGGCACGCGGGCACGTGCGCGGAGGGCGAGCAGCCCGCGCCTTTCACCCGCTCCTGACGGTGCTCGGGCACAGGTGAGGAGCTGATGCCTGCTGCCGGGCGGCAGCCTGCCGGGACGGGGACCGGGAGAGGAGCCGCCCTGCCTGGCGGGAGGGAAGCTGAACACATGGCTGTCCGCAAAGAGAGGTCTTACCAGGCTTCGCGTCGTACCGCCTCACCGAGAGTCCTCTTCTCGCTTCTTCCCAGAGCGGAGTTGAAAATCTTGGAATTGTCATAACGTTTTATTATCACTTGCAAAACAGATTCGACTTCATCAGATAAAGACACAATTGCATTCATTGACTCTGACACAAGGATATGCATAGTGATAAACATACAGATAGATGTACACACTTATACATGAATGAGATATGCTAATTAAAAATTGCAGTGGGCACTTTATTAAAAATTTATTGTACAATCTTCATCTTCAAAACATTTTACATCAACAAATACAGCAGCTTGACTGCTGGAATCATAAGTGATTTATCTTTAAAAGACTGTATTTGTAACTGGATGCAAAGATTCTTGATGAACTGCCATTACATTTAAACTACTGGTTTTTATTGGAAGTATTTTGACTGTTATCTGTTTGTTCTCCATCCTTGAGAGAAATAAAAACAAGTGTCTCGGCTTTCATTTTATCGGATAGATGGCACCATGTAGCATATTTCCCATGCTAGTTTGAATTACAGCTGTTCATCTTTCAGCTTTCTTTAAGATTAATTAAATGCAAATGTAACTCCGTGAATCATGGGATTACCTGCCAGACCCCTTATTAATACCTTCACTTAAAAACCCCTGTGCCAGAGAGTCATTAATTTGAAAAAAAAAAAAAAAAAAGAAGAGTGCTAAAGCAGCCCTTTGCCTCCGAAGAACCCGGAGATGGCTGCCCAATTAGTCCGGCAGCGTTCGGATCCTCCTTTCAGGCCCTGTGGCCCTTTGAGGACACAATAAGGCTCCAATGATAACCTGGCAACCTAGGTAGAAACTCAGCCAAGTGTGAGCGTTTGAAGCTGCAGCTTGGCTGCCATCGTGTCGGCGAAAAGAAAGAATTCAGGCACCATGTCATCCAGTACAAAGGATAAAAACAGATTCAACCGGAAATTCAATGTGGCACCACATATGGGATACATGAGTGCGGTTATACAACAGGCCACATATTTTTTTTGAACAGTCTCCTGCATGTGATGCCGAGGACATGTGTAACCATCATAACGTCTCTAAGAATCTGTATTTAATTTGAGCTGGGGTGGTGGCAGGGATTGGAGATCTGAAGCCGCCACAGGTTTGTGGCAGATGGCTCTGTGTCAGCTATGACAAGCAGCCAGGCTCGGCTTCCTCTGCAGATTTTCTTTTCTCTCTGATCAGGTAAATATGGGCACACTCTGGAAACTTCCACAATTCTGCCTGAGGCTGCAAGTTTGTGACTTAGCCCCATCTGTCACAAATCTTCCCTCCGTTCTGCTGCGAGCAGAGACCTGAATTTACCGCCGAGCGCTGCCCAAGAAAACCCAGCCGTCTCGCCCTACGAGGAAGCAGAGAGAAAAGCGCACGAAGCCGCGTTAGATGCCGGCACACGGGAGGGACGTCTCTCGCGCGGGAAGGAGCGTGGCTCTGTGCCGAAACGCTCTGCAACACCCGGCATTTCGGGAGCGGTGGAAGGGACTTGCTCGGAGAACGCTTACGCGGCGTTGTTTGGAAACGGGGTGAATTCGGAAATTTTTTTTTTCCAGACAGGTAAGCTGGTGGGCAGACCCAGGTTATTTGCTCCTGGATGAGCACCACCCAACGTCCGTCTGCTTTACTGGCGGTCTGGGCAGACACGCCAAGGGCTGAGCACCCGTGGGGACCAACCTGCCCCTCTCACCCTCAGACACGGCAGAACCAAGAACTGGCGGGAACGAAGGCGTAATTCCCCTGCTTGACCATCATCGGTCTGGCTTCTGGGCCTTATTTTAGGGTAACCTTGGAGAGAAAAAAATTCAACTCCTTTTTTGGAGGGTGGTAACTCTGCAAAGGTCTGGGAATTCATTTTTTTCAAGGAATAGTGATTTAGTCAACAGTTCCTAAATATGCAGAGATAAAATGATCAAGAGAAGCAAAGTTTTCACACAAAACAAGATCTCCCCATGAAGAACAGGCAGCATAATAAGATGTCAGTAGCAGTACAATATTCTTTATGATATAATAAACTTTTTTGTTTCTTGTGTCCTAAGATCAGAACTGAAGTGATTAATATCTACTCTGCCATCATTACACTTCAGAGTTAACCTTTAGAATTTAATAAGGACTGTTCATCCATTCAGACCTGCCGTTTCAGGACAGTTGGCGTTCAAGCAGACAGTACTGATTTGGCATCCATTTTGTGCACTTTTTGAAAAAATTACCTTAACAAAATTAAGAATTAGAGACTATTATTCAGCACAAAACCTGAGATTTGGCAGGCAAGACAGCAGAGTGATTTACAGAGGTAATTTGTATTGGGTCAGCTTTATTCTGTGACCCAGCTCCTTCCCTCTGTATGTGAGTATTGGGGAAGAATCAAGGTGGAAAGCAGCTTGTAGTAATTACTTTTGGAGCTCAACTTTCAAACTCCAAGCACCTTTGGAAACCACCATCAAAAGACAGCATTGGTTTACATGAATTGGGTGCACTGTGAGGCCTGAGTCGGAGCGATATAATACTCCTCAGCAGAGTAGCAGTATTTCCCTGAACGAACTGGTTCTGAAGTTTCATATATCAGCCTTTTAAAACTTATTTCATTCTTTCTGTCTTTAAACAAAAAAACATCAAATGCTGGATGCAAATCTACGCAAGGCACCCTGGTGGGTACCTTGCATAGGATGGGTCAGAACACACTGAACAACTACTACAGTAGGAAAACAGTTTCAGGCTTGCTTTCTCAAGGTAATTTGAATACACTTTACTGAAAGAAAAAAAAAAAAAGTTTTCTTGCTTTTTGCAACTTTTCTTTCAAAGTCCATCATATTTCCTTTGACCCGTTTCTCCATTTACCATTTTGCAGCGGCTGTGGTTCATCTGCCAGTTTTCATTTACTTTCTAAAACTAAATTAGAAGCTACCTAATATTGTTATAATAAAAAGTTCAAAGTCCTGGTGTTTATGCTGGAAGATGCACACGTAACTGCCGCCTTAATGAACGCTTCCTTCCTGCTCTACAGGTGCAGCCAACTGCTTTGAGCTACAGCCCAACATTTTCAGAGAGCTGAAATCTCCTAGTTATACACCTCAGAGAGCCGAGAGCAAGGCAAGCCCTGGGAGAAGTTGAGATGCAGGACACATACATATAGATGTGTATATGCATGCTTATGTAGACATCTACACATGTATGGCTGGATCCCAGAATGACCTAGCAGGCAACTTCAACAGCCTACCTGCTAGCTCGTTTCTTCCACAGTGGGGATCCCCATGACCTAGCAGACCTCACTCTACCACAGCTGCTTCCAGACCCACCTGCTGCTTGGAGACCTAAGGTTGACCCCAAATGCTCAAATTGTGTCCCACAGTCCAGCAGATCCTCCCACCTGTGCAGACCTCCTAAGCTAGCTGGATTTCACCTGTATCAGCCATACGTATGGGAATGAAAAATGTCGAGACTTCAGTCTAACCTGGGTACGACCCTGAGCGACTTAATCCAACTCTGAAGCTGGATCCTACTTCGACGCTGGCCCTGCTTTGAGCAGAGGTTGGCCAGATGACCTCCAGAGGTCCCTCACTAAATTACTCTACAATTCCGTGTTCTAAATAAGGAACCAAAGTTTGCTTTCCCAGAAGAAATCCGTACGTTACATACATTTTACTTAGGATCCCATGCCTAAGCACTGACACAGAGACGGGACAGCACGGAAACAGCACGCTGCACTCCAGAGTTCCCAGGCTGCTACCACCTTCCCATCCAGGCTCTGAGAAGCAGGTTTAGACCATCTCTGAAACCATTTTACATCATGCTCACTGGGAACCAAGCATCTCAAGAGGCAAATACAAGTTTCCCACTTGTGCTTCCAACCTCCTTCTGACCTGCACCTCACGCTGACCAGGTAGAAGCACAAATTCAATATAATGCCTTCTTTTTTCTCTGCCAACGTGCTCTGCTGGAAGTATGTCTGGAAGATATTTGCACATCTTATAGAGCTCTAAATTAACTTTATCGGCTCAGGACAAAAGATCTGGAGAACACTGTAAGCAAACATCTGCTCAATATACATTCACCGTTAAAAAGTAAACAGTATGTTTGGCTCCATAAGGAACAGGTTGAAAATTATCACAGTACAACACATCCCATAAACTGATGGCATGGCCTAGAATACTCTGTCAAGTAATGATCACACCAGCACAAAAACAGCTCTCAAGCATCAAAATGGTTTGAACGATGGGAGATAAGAATATAAACACAGAATAACGTTCAGGAAGAGAAACTGAGAAGACTGGGATGCTACAAGAGTTTGACAAATGTTTATAAAATAATGAATGGTATAGAAAAGATGGATGGGGAGCTTCTGCTTCCAGGAAACCAGCTCCAGAACAAGAAGACACTCAATGCAACCAAAGGTGGGGAAACCCTGAGCTGGCTGGAGGAAATGTTTTTAATACCGCCTGTAAACATAGGATGAATCACTTTGCTATAGGAGGACGTGAAAGACAAGAACCCGGGTCTCCAAGAGCCTGAACGTCGGAGGGAGAGCTATTAGCTACAGCCTCGCAATACTTAATACTAGAAGAAGATTATGAAAGATGATAAAATCTCCACGTCCAGGGTTAGGACCAATCTCTAACTCTAAAAGACAAAGAGAGGATCTTTAATACCCTATTTCTACCTGTGTCAGCCTTCTCCCAAACATCTCATGCTCACCACTGCCAAAACCAAGGTACTAAACGCATGGCGTGCCGATCCAGAGCGGCAGTTAGCATCCTTACGGAAAAAAGAATTCCTCACGGCGTTTTGCTGGGGAGTGGGCAAGGGTAAGGGCAGAGGCATCGGCCCCGGCTCTTACGTGGCCTGTACCAGGACTATGAACGACCACTGCTCCTTGCAACGGGGCCGCGTGACATCTGGCATCAGGCTCCCCCACATCCTCACGCGCCCAGCGCCCCGTGTCCTTAGGACGAGAATGCCTCCTGCTGCCTTCCTAGCTGTGCCTAAATAATAAAGCTGGACCAGGAGCGGTTTTCCCTTCTACCCGTTTTCCTGAAATACCAAAGATACTGCTTTATCTCAAATCAGAGTAAAAAGAGAAGGAAAAAAAGAAAAAAAAAGACAGTTTTGTTAGAACTGCCCTATACAGCCAAATCCTGAGACTGGAAACAATTCAGATGTCTACGGTCTAACTGGGATCTTAATTTGATTTTACAGCAGTTTAATCCCTTTGAATTCAGCAGACTTCCTTCTACAGTGGTGTAAGAAAGAAAAAAAAAAAAATCACGCCATGTGTCTTTTCATAGGCAGGTGAGCTTCTGTAGCGTGATGGAAATGAGAAGATGAATGTCAGAAAGTGGGCCAAATTCTTTTCTCCGTTAAACAAGCATCAGTGAGAGTAGGATTTTTCTGTAGGAACTGAAGCTGACAGCATGTCAACCAGCACTCATTCAGCTGGGAGGGCTGGGAGAGATTATTTAAAGTTGTCAGCTCCTTCCATGCCTGGCTTTTGGCAACTCTTCTTGTCCCTTTCCACTGTATACTCTTTATACATGCTGTTTTAAATTAAGAAACTGAAGTGAGGGAACTGAAAGGTAAACTTAAAGAAAATAATGCAGAAACAAATGCTTTGCCCTATTTTTTTTTTTTTTCTTTCTTAATTTTAAATCTGCTAGATAGGGAGCTTGCAAACACTGACAGGTCTTATGGTGTACTCGGATGGAAACCGATGCCCTGTTGCAGTTACTTGCTTCATTCTGGCTCTTACTTTGGCAACCACAAATACCCAGAACCAGAGAGCAACATTTGATTCCGTAAAACTGGAACAGGACAAATAATTGATAACAAATGAGGTTTGCGTTCCACTCATCTCCATCTCCTGTTAACAACTGGTGGAAGGCAACGGCGCAATGCAAATGAGCCAGCCTTGGGTGCTGTGAGAACACGCAGGGTAAGTAATACATCATTTGGAAAGGTTTTCACAGGTGCTTGCATTATGGACATTTTTAA